GTCAAAATTGGCCGGATGAATTAAATTGACACAACTGAAATATTTAAGACTGAATTGACCCCATCCAAGAGGCTTAAGATTTTTTAGACAATTATCACCTAGCAAGCCCCACTACAAGCGCACGAAGTCAAAACTATCTAACACATCTCAGTTGGATAGGAATAACCCAAAATCCTACTTCTTTTGAAATGAACACATCATGCAGAATGGGTCTACCTGGCTTCGGATACTTCCCCTCTAGATCGCTGGACCATGGACAGGAGTGCCGAATCCCTTCAATTCTCTCAAACTCATTATCGTAGTTCCTACTTTTCTGACGAGGAAACGGTGTCTGTCAGCCTTACTAGCTTTTTGAGATAAGCAAAAAAAATTTGATTTTTTTGTGCCCTTCAGCTACCCCTTCCCGTCTTTGTTTAGCAGCAAACTCAAGAATGGCCTTTATGTATGAGCTGAAAAATGGTATCCACGAATACCAGCCATACTAGCTCGTCAAGAAAGGTGGGTAAGTAAGAGGCGCGTCTAGGGAGTCTTTAGTTCTTAGACTATTTATCGTTGAGATACTCCCAAACTCCACCAGCTAGCATCACCGAAGTGAATCGTAACCTTTCACTCAGTTTATAGGGGGTCATGTGACATTCTGAAATCCGACCCACTTGGGATTTATGAAATGGATGATTTATGGACATGCTTGTAGTTAGATCTCGCCCTGAACTGATCACTTCTGGGATACTAACCGTTAGGGAATGGCTAGTTAGGGATTTAAATTCGCGCGACCATAGAAACTCTATCGTGAACCGACTTTCGACCACAAAAATTGTCGAGGTGACATTTTGAGGCAATGTAGGCCGATCCAAGGATAGTTAGGGGTCAGTTCGCTGCTATCATACGAGTGGATCGCGGGTGATTCCGCTTGACCACGAGACGAGTTGACGAACGATCCTAAACCTATGCCAAACGATCGCGCCCGTCGGAACTAGCGATCGATCCTCGCGATTAAGTGACAACTGAATTCGTCACGACCCGAGTGAACTTAAACGTGGTTTGATTCAGTATCGGCCACAGGTCGAATGTGCGAATTTCCCCGAAAGCCACCCGTTAGTTCGAGATACGCTCAAGTTACGTAAATTAAATTTAATCATTAATTAGAGACCAAGTTTGGGCATCGGAAATTATGAATGTCACGACAGGATAATTGGACGACGTTGTTATTGGCTTAGTCAGCCTCAGATTTGTTCGGATTCTTCAGAAAATTCGAATTTCGGCGAGAAATGGAAAATGACCGTTTTACCCCTGGGGTTTTGTTAAGGCCAAGTATAATGGGAGAGGGGCATTTTGGTCATTTCACACCTACATTAGAGATAGAAATTTTTGGACAATTTACCCTTGGAAATTTTGTGAAATTCCAATTTTGCCCCTGGATATTTTTGGCAAGGATTAATCTAGACCGTTGATCTTAGGATAAGATCAAATCGTGGCCGTTGATTTGGAAATAGAGAGAGGGGTAGGATGGTCATTTGGCATAGGGGTAGACACCAATTATTGGTGTCATTGATATTTATTCTCATTTTCTCTCTCTCCCTCTCATTCTCTCTCTCCTCTCTCACGGCAATCTCTCTCTCCCTCACCCCTCTCTCGGCCAAGCCCTTCCCCTCCCACCGTGAAGTGGCCAGCCGGCCACACCCATCGCCGCCATGCAACCGCTGAGCCGGATCACCGCCGTCCGCCCGTGAAGCCGCGTCCTCGCCGCACCACCACTTCACCGTCTCTCTCTCCCTTGTTTTTCCCCTCACCGAAACACTCTGACCAGCCCCATCTCAGCCCAGAACAGCCAAGAAAGCCAGCAGCCAATCGCCGCCGCTCGTGACCGCCGGCGAGTAGCCGGTAACCCTTACCGCTTTTCGCCGCTGCCGCTGCTGTTTGCTCTCTGTCCAGCCACCGTTGAGGCTTCGATTTCGCGTAGGAATCACAAGTAAGTGATATCCTAACCCTCGCCTAGGATAACGGGTATTTTCGGGTTAGTTCGGGGCCGTTTTAGCAAGTTTTAGGGGTTAATCGTGGATTAATGGTTGGACTGATTTGGCTGAGTGGTTTGGATGGAATTGTGATAGTTTTTGAGGTGAAATTGATGTTAGAATTGATTGGTTAGGTAACCGGAATGATTTCGGGTGATTATTGTGGCTTAGTGCGCGAAAAACGGGCCTAAATTTGCCGTTATGGTGATTTTCTATGGTGGCCGAATTACTGTTCATTCTGTGGCCGAATTAGTGCATATTGGAGAGTAGGATATAGTACGTGTTGGTTTGGGAGTTGTCGGTAGAAGTGCGACGCCCGTGAATGGTGAAATTCGGCTTAAAATCCAAAAACTCGAGTTAATTGTGCACGTGCGAATTGAATTGGATTGGCTGGTTTGTGGTGATTGTCATGGCTGGAAATAGACATGGAAATATTGAATTTATGTCCATAATTGTGGCTGTGATTGTGGGTCCAATGGCGACCTTGTTTGTTAGTTGGATTGTGAATTGATTGATTGAAATGTGGACCGTTATATGCGCTCATGGGCTGAATTGAATTGACTGGCAATTGGCCATGATTGGGTGTTAATTGAGCATGTAAAATGCGTGAGGTTCGATGCATGCATGGACCGATTTTTTTTTTTTTTGGTCGGTGCATGGACCGAATTTGATCGGCTGGTAATTTGGCATGTTTGTGTGTAAATCGGGCGAGTGAATGAATGAGAAATTGTGTGAAATGTCGTGCGTGTGGTCACGAAAGTCCCTGAGGCGTGTACTGTAACGCGGGGAATTATGCCGTCCTGAGGCGGTACTGTAACGCGGGACGATGCCCGGTATTACCGAAAGACTGCCAACCTGAGGCGTGTACTTCAACGCGGGTTGTGCCGTAGGTGGTGGATGTTGAGCCTGAGGCGGTACTATAACGCGGGCAAGAGACATAGCCTGAGGCGGTACTGTTACGCGGGCTAAGAAGTGTTGTGAATATGAGATGGTCGCGTGTAGACCGTGAATTGACAGTGGACCTAAGGCGTGTACTATAACGCGGGTCGCTGGCGAGTCGAATGAAAGTGATATGATGGTGTACGAACGAGTGTGTGTGAAATGCCGAGTGTGGAAATGACACATGTTCGACTTTGTCTGTGGGCATGAGAATTAATTTGGAATGTGCATGTGGTTGGAATTTGTGTTATTGTGGCTAACGTGCAGATTGTGCGCATTAAAAGCCCAGGTAAGTGCAATTGTGTGCCTATTATGTGGTCGTTGAATGTGATTGTGTTGGACTTGTCTGGAGGTACGTGTTAGCCTAGGTTGGGTTTAGGGTGTTGCTTACTGAGAAGTGTTCTCACGGTTTTATTTAAAACCATTTAGCCGATCGAAGCTACAGCGGAGTCGGGAGACAAGGACAATCTGATTGAGATCAATGCTGAGTCCAAGTCTTCAGAGGAACAGACTGGCTTCGACGAGACCGTTTCTGAGTGGACACCCTCCAGGACGAATAGGGGTTAGTTAGAAGTTAGGGGTTGGACAGTATTTGGAAACGCCCCTTTTTGGTGGTAGTATTATTCTACCTGAAGTCGCTAATCCTTGTTGATATCGGCGGTTGTTATTCCGGAGGTTTGATGGTTGCAATGGTTTGTATTGAATATTGTAAAAATAGTGGGTGTAATGTAGTGGTTGGTTACTGGTTGTGATGGATATTGTAAATATCGCGGTGTAATATAGTGCTTGGTGGTTTGGTGATTTGTCTCTCCCTATTACCCCATGATTATATTGTCAGGGATTTGTGTAATCGTTTCCGCTGCATTTGATTCTGATGTTTTGGGTTGGGTCGGCGATGTTTCCTGAGACGTCGCACTAATTCGACCGAAGAGGGATATCGCGAGCTCGATGGGGTTCGGGGCATGACAGGTCAGGACACGTCAAGAGACGAAACTAGCTAATGTTGTTTAATCACCGTCACTAGATTTGTTTGCAGCTACTATAGCTAATCAATTTCCTTTAATGCTTGATTAAATTGCCCACATTTGTAATATCTCTCCCATACATTTATAGAGCACCATGTCAAGAATAGGAACCTTCTTCAAGGAAGTGTTGCTAACTAAAGTAGTGTTGACAATTGGTTGGCTAGGGAAATTGTCTAATTAGTTCTATACTTATTGTATATATACCAATTTAGTCCTAACTTTCCAAAAAATGACAAAACATTTACATGAAATTCTAATGTAGTCCTTTTGGGTAATTTTCATTGGAAATCACTGACGCGGCACAGCAGGTGATGACTAGATTCGACATGTCAACGATTTTCAGCAAAAATTGATAGGTAGGACCACATTGAATTTTCACATAAAAGTTTATGACTAAATTGCCAAAAAAGTTTATGACTGATTGGGTAATTTTCCCGCCTAATCATTGTTATGTTCATTTCCCACTGACATTCACTTAGCACAAACAACGAGTTTCAATTAATTCAGTAATGGTAATTCTTGCAGTAACTACTTAACTAACTAGCTTTCTTGACTGAATATATGTATGCCCTTTACCTTTAGGTGTTTTGGTTGTATTTAGAGGGTTGGCAGATTACCTAACTCTACATTATTAGGGCATGGCCAAACAAAAGGAACTAGAAAGAATCTACATCATTAATTATACATTCGCTAGCGACTTTGGAATTACTTCACGTGGAAACCTTTTATTTACAATTTTTTCATGATTCAGGATACGAGCACAGAAACCCGACCATTTAGAGGCCTCTGATTGGTGGATTACCTACAAGCCCCATAGTCCAATTCAGTCTAGAAGACTTTTGGCTTGTGCAAATAACCCTGATCTAAAACATGTAATATTTGAACAAATCTTCAGTTTACAAGTTAGAATTCGCGCCTCAATCAATGACCAATCTTGAGGCATTTTTCACCTCAATTTTTCCAACTCTTCCCCATAAATAGCAACTTCTTGCTTTTAACTTATTAACCTATCTTTGCTCAGCTTGCTAAATCTTTCACTAAATTCTTCACGTTCCGCTGTTTCTGAAACACATAATTCCCCGATCACAATTTTCTTACTCATTTTGATCATACTTTCTCTGAGAAATGGCATTTCAGTCCGACTGTAAGTTGATTATGCTTTTGTTATTGCTAGCCCTCAAGCAGCTCATCGCAAAGCCATTGGTACCCTGTTATTTCGTGTTCGGGGACTCCGTGAACGACAATGGCAATAATGTCAACCTTCCTTCTGCCTTTAGACCTGTCTTCTTGCCATATGGGATCGATTTTCCCGATGGACCAACCGGAAGGTACAGCAATGGTCGGAATTTCGTTGACGTCGTAGGTAATTTACATACCGTTTCTTAATTATATCGTTACCTTGGAGGTCAACATGAGAGTGATAAGACGTTTTTGTTTCAGAAAGAGAAAATTTTCATTTTGTACCAAAAAGAAGTATGAACAAGACGTAACCGGAAATGTGCATTTGCAATGCAAAGGTTCTCTGATTCTACTTATAAATTTCCAGAGAAAAAAGGCTCTAATTTTACTTGTGTTGCTCTTTTTTCAGCGCAAGGTGAGTGGAAAATGAGCATAATCTCACATCTCATTTTTTTTTACTTGCAGAGCAGTTCTTGGGCTTTGACAGCTTTATTCCTCCGTATGCAAATGCAAGTGGTAGAGATATACTTCAGGGGGTCAATTATGCCTATGCTGGTGCTGGAATTCTTGATAGAACTGGGAAGCACTTGGTACATTTCATTTGAGATTTAATTTCTGGTCAACTTTCTTGTTTCCAGAGTCAATTTTTGTTCAGATTGGATCCTCTAAAGTTTACCCTCTTGAACTGTCCAAATTCTTCTTTTCATTTTTACCCTCCCCCTATCTCTCACACTAATCTGTTAGAGTCGACGCGCTGCCATCGTCACTAAGGCTCCATCTAGACCCTCTGAACCAATGCAATGTGTCCTTCCCCAAGCCTAGTCCACCACTGCTGCCCGCTGTGTATCTGCGTGTTTGGCCAAATCGAGCTGCCAGGGAGGCTGCGACCACATATTTAGGTTTGCTAGCCTTGGACGGCCCCAAATCTAGGTCGACTGAGGTTGGGTGCCGCCAATGCACGTAGCAGCCACCATGCGTGTCCTTCAGAGAGAGAGAGAGAGAGAGAGAGAGAGAGAGACGGTGGTGGGGTGCAACGGTGGCTATGGCAGAGGGAGAGAGGGGGTGGGAGAGCATGTTGGAGTATTCTGGGTATATGAATAAATTTCCCCATTATTTTGGTTAGTTCGATATAACTGACTAAATTTAGGGAATCGCTATCCATCGTATTTTGGCATTTTGACATTAGTCACCAATCCATCAACCATTTAAAATCGGCAAAAGGACACTATAAGTGCCATAACTTGTGTACGGAGATCACTTTGGTGCCATAACTGTTTTTCGGATCACTTTGGTGCCAAGTCGGAGGAAAAAAGATCACTTAAGTGTCATAAGTTTTTTTTGGATCACTTCAGTGCTAAAATTTTTAAAAAACGATCACTTAAATGCTAAATTTTTTTAAAAACGATCATTTAAGTGCTAAATTTTTTGAAAAACAATCACTTAAGTGCCAATCTCCGGCGAGCCACGTCAGCTTCAGAAATTAATAAAAAAAATGCCACATCGGATTTCCGGCGAAAAATTGTGTACGGCACCGGAGTTGGCACTTAAGTGATCGTTTTTCAAAAATTTTAGCACTTAAGTGATCGTTTTTCAAAATTTTTAGCACTAAAGTGATCCAAAAAAAACTTATGGCACCAAAGTGAGCGCCGTACACAAGTTATGGCACTTGTAGTGTTCTTTTGCCATTTAAAATCAAACTTAGATCGTGGAATTTTGGACCATGCAACGCAATTACGTTGTAACATGTAAGCACCTAACTATTAAACTATTCTAGTTATCGAGGTCCTCGTATGTAAAGATCCAAAACCATCTCATCAAATTTTCACATATTCCATTAACATTTCCAAGGTATAAGGAATTGAATTTATTTTTTCTTTCGACAATCAAGTTTAAACTATACTTGTATGAACATTATCTGTGCATAATTTCTTCATATATTCCTTTTTACAGGGTAACGTAGCAACATTTACTGATCAACTGAAGCAGCACCAATACACAGTCTCAGAAATTGCAAAGATTTTAGGAGACGAGAACTCGGCTGCATTTCATCTAAAGAAATGTTTATATTACGTCGACCTCGGCAATAACGATTACCTCGGAAATTACTTCGGTTTTACCAATCTCAGTCTGCAATACACTCCTGAACTGTATGCCAATCTTCTCGTTGAAACATATTCTCGGAAGATGAAGGTGTTTTTCGTTATCTATCGCTTTTGCATTGCGTTCAATTTCTAGAACTTCTGTCGCCTTTTTCTTCTTTTTATTTCACCACTAAAACTGACTGAAAGATTGTGCCTTTAATTCCAGGATTTGTACAACTACGGAGCGAGGAAGATGATCCTATCAGGGGCAAACTTGATTGGGTGCACACCATCTGTATTGGCCCACAGTCCTCCAACGTTTTCGCAGTGCATAGGCTATGTCAATTTCGCTATGCGGATATTCAACGACAAGCTTAAATCTCTCGTCGGTGACTTGAACAAGCACTTTCCTGATGCTAAATTCACTTATCAGGACGCTTCCGCCGTTTTTCAAGAGTTACTAGACAACCCATCGTTATACGGTATCCAAATTATTTGTGTTTGTTGGATGATTTTCTCATCAAATTTTCTTCGTAGATTTTATCTTACGTATGTCATGTTGAACGTGTTCGACTTATCTGCCACCGTCGAGAATGTTAAGCTCTCCGGTGCTGAAATGATGTCAAAGTATTTGGGTGAACAAGTCTTTATAACGTTGGCACTAGAAAGTATAAACGCAACAATTCCAAGTATCTAAGAGTAGCTTTGATTAGAGATGACTTATAACCCTTTTCCTCTTTCATTTTCAGCCCAAAATAACTTGGCAAACGAATTTGGCGACCCCTAATCATTGTCAAGTTTCTTGAACATTAGTGGACTTGACTAGAAAAAATTAAGGCTTTTTCACTATGCGGTTATTAAGAAAACATAAAGAATTCTCTCCACACTTTTGTTCATTTCCACTCTTTGTGGATACGGAAGTTATGAACTCATGTGAACAAAAGTTAAGAACAGAGTCAACTAGAGGTGCTGTCACTATAAGATTATTGTTAAGTCGACCGGCAATGTAAGAACATCCTTACACATTAGCTGTTAGAAAAACGATATGTATATTTCAAGTTAAATCTATAAGTGAATTCTTCCACATGTCGACCATCCACCAATAAATGTATCAACACTATTTTACACTGATAACGAACCTAATAAAAATCCCTTACTATATACTGTTAAATATGTCTTGAATTTTATGTTTTCGGTTCGGTTTAACACCCGATCCGACATATTTTTGTGCGACCCGAAAATTGAGATTTAGTTCGTGACGTGGAGAGTTGGGCCGATAGGCCCAACTCGTAGCAAGTGAACAAATCTCTATGGCGGTCCGCCCGAGCTGGAGCAACGAACCAATGTTTCGGGGGGTTCGGGGGCGTAGCCCCCGAGGAAAAATTTCGGGAGCACTATTTATACTGCGGCTAGGTTTTCTCATTGAAATATAGAGAGAATTTTGTTTTCGGAGAGTTTTGTGAGCCGTGAGCTTTTGTCGTTGTTTCGACTTCTGAAAACTGTACTCTCTTTGATTATAGTGGAATTTTGTCTTGCCTCGCCCGTGGACGTAGATCACGTTGTGATCGAACCACGTAAATCCTCGTGTTCTGTGTTTGCTTTTTTCCGCGTTTGCATCAACATATACCAGAGCTATTTAACTAATAATGAGGAAGCGCATATTAAATAGGCAGATTTTGAACCCATGAAGTAGCTCACTAACATCACGGCCGGCCCAAGTAAGGCGCAAGCAGAAACCCAGATGAGTAGCCCCGGACATAGAATCGTTTGCATTTGGTGGTGAATGAATTCAACCGGAATGATGCATCTAATTCACGCACTTAAGTTCGGTTCTTAGTCACTAAGCCAACTCTCTAACGGTTAAATCGCCCAACAATTTCAGTAATACAGTTGGTGGAAAGGAAAACTCCATAATACATCTCTTGACCCAATGCTGTCCAACTCAAAACTTGCATTTAATAGTCCAGAAGACTTGCCCTTGGTCAAATTAATATACATTCTAGGACCATGTCTTTGGCTAACGTCTTTTTCTTTTATAAGTATCTCTATTATCAAGCTCAATGAGGAATGGGTGGACAATTTCTTGTCAATTCTTGTTAATTTCAGGCTTCAAGGTCACAACAACCGCTTGCTGTGGACACGGACGGAAGCGTGGTAAGATCAGCTGTCAGAAATACCAAATCCCATGCAAGAACAGGGACGAGTACTTGTTTTGGGACCTTGTCCATCCTACTGAAGCCGCCAATGTGGTCGTGGCCAGCAAATTATTCAGCGATGAAGCTGAACTGTTCACTTACCCATTCACCATTTCCCAGTTAGCCCAGCTCTAATGCTTTGTTGCTTGCGGTTCTCCCGTTTCTTGCCATTTCCATTTTCATGTTGTCGTTTCATCTCGTGAATCATGCCCCTCCAGTCCAAGATCAATGCATTGAACCGAGGTTATGCCTCGCAATAACAACCGCGTTTTTGAATTTCGAAATGTGATTCATGGAGAGATGTATCGCGTTATCGTGATGCAAGGTTTCACTATTGAACGTGCGATTTACTTTCTCACACTATTCTTGTGCCATGAATCACTTGCAGAACGAAAGGGTTTTTGAGGGAGGTTTTCCTTTCGGGTGGCTAGTTCGAATGTTTTCAAACATGAGATCGTAGGGGAATGTTTATCGGTAAAAGGATCAATTCATATGCTGTCATTAAATACGCCTGACCCACATCAATTAACAATTCATGTAAAATCTATCAAAATAAAGAAAAGTCACCATCATTGTATAAGGAAATTAGAGCATGCACAGCCATGTAGACCAAAACAATGAAAAGTTGCCTAAAATGCTCTCATAATGAAACCAAAATGAATAACTACTAAGCAGAATGAAACAAAATAGGCCATTTTGGATCGTGATGTGACCGACCAGTCAACGAATCCGGTCGCGTCTTGTGAGATTTTTTAAAATCCATTTGTTTATCATGCTGAAGTTTTGTATTCCTTATAAGATTGTCCCAATGACCACAAATGTTCTTCTTTTCTTTTCTTTTTTTGTATATAATCTAAAGATACAGACCTAGAAACCTACTATCTGAAAGCTCATGAAACATCACACAAAATCTATGAACTGATTAAGTTCAAGCCTTACAATCTAAGGATTAACACAGCTGGTAGGGGCATTAATGAAATTTTAGGAACTGGAGGTTACCTGTTGGTATCTCATTAACTGGGCTCGTAGAGTGCTTCACGAGCGTCTAAATGAGCGAGTTACGTGTCTATGTCCTTGAAATATATAAAAAAATAAATGAAGAATGAATAATGGAAGATAAAAAAAAGAACCAAAAAAATAAAAAGAGAATAGTCAAGATGAATTAGGGAAGTTGGCGTAAAAGGCTATAGCCAAACTAAATGGGACACCCATATAGGTGGGGCTGCTTTTGGCTAACAAAAGAGTACGCTTGGCCTCCGTGGTCCAACTATCCAAATTGTGCAGCCAATTAGATGAAATGTTGTGGCTGTCCTTTAGTCACTTTTCGGAACCACTCTATATTGAAATCTGCCTATAGGTTTAGGATGTCCGAAGCCTATTTATCACAGTTTATGTACGTGCATATGTGTCATTCTGAAACATATTTCCACCCCCATCAAACATGAACTTCTTTTATAGTGACATCGATGAAATCATCGACTTCTTTTGTGACCGGCAATGCTAAAGATAAGAACTTTTACCGTGTTTTCTTTGCTAGGGGTTTGGAATTTGTGTATTGAATATTTACACAAATGTGACTCGTGCATTGAGACTCCCTTTACTTTACAAGAAATATGATATTTCTAGAAAATAATTTTCTAAAAGTCATTTTTATAAAAATGGCAATGTTTTTCCTAAACTTGATTGAAATGTGAAAATGAACTAGAAATTATTTTCCTTTGTTTTGTAAGGAAAACTTGTTTTTATTTTCTCAAAGACATATACTATTCGAGTTGCTAGTGACTTGGGCACGGGCACAGGCACTGAGGTCCCAAGCCCGACCTCTATGGACCCGGCTCGGCCATGATAGGCCTCAGCATGGGCGTCGAGGACCCAACCAAAGGCACTGGTTTCGAGCCCACGGATATTGGGCCTGAGACACCGTTCCCCATGCCCAACTCCCTAATGCCTTGACCTAGGTACATCGAGGCCAAGTCAGGTCTACAAAGGCCAGGTGTGGGACCCTAGCGTCGATGCTCAGGTCCTTGATGCTTGGACCTTGGCTCATGGAGGCCAAGGCTGAGTCCGTAGTGATTCGGCCCCAGATCGTGGTGCTCATGCCCAGGAACCCAGCAACCGGGCCCGAGATCTCGATTCCTAGTGCCTGTGCCCAGATTCCCAGCACCTATGCTCGGGTCTATGGAGCCCCAAGCCAGGAACTCAGTGCTCGTGCTCGGTTCCCCCTCGCCAAGGTCCACAAAGGTCGAGCCCAGAATAATAGTGCCCTAGCCCAGGTCTTAGGCACCTAGGCCCGGGCTTATTGAAGATGGGCTTAAGACCCCAAGAGTGTTCGATGCTTGAGCTTGACGGACTCGAGTCCGGCCTCAATGGACCCAAGCTCAGGCTCCAAGGTTTCAATTTGTGTCCCGAACATGAACCGAAATGAATCAAAACACTTTAAATCATACATTTTCTTCCTCCAGAGAACACCCTTCAAGAAAGTCTCCCTTACTATTGTCTTTGGCACCTCGACTCGACTCGACCTAACTCGAACCAACCCGAACCGTGTTTTCAGTTCCAGTACTATACAATTCTAGTCATGAACACACATGTACCAAACATATTCGGGTCGGCTCGGGTATCATGGAAACCCAAACCATTAACACCCCTGCTTAAGATGGAAAGAGAATAGGAATTTTTTTGTTTGTTTGTTATAACCCAAGGGCACGAACATAGAGGTCCGGCTTTTCAAAGACTCAATGAGCATCATACAAGCTCCGTAAGCCGAATAAGTCCATGCCATTCATATGTACATATGACCCTGACCTAAAGAAATTTGCACGTAATTAGTAGGATTCGCATAAGAAATTTCCAAATCTTGAATTGCCAAATCCCCTAGCACACTAATAAATTGCGCCGGCCTTGGAGGTCCAAAAAGTAGGTATTTTCCCTAGCACTATCGTGATGATAAAATACTATTCAAATTATTATTAGGCCCATAGTCGGTGTAGAACTTTCCATACTGATTGTTGGACGAATATAATGTGTTTTTTGAGTTGCTTTGGCAATGGAATTCTTCTACATGCCAATCATCCAACTGTATGTGCATGAAACATGTTTTACATCGATAATAGATTTAACAAAAATCTATACTTTCAATAGATGCCCTAATACAAGTCCGAAAAATCTAACCTTAGTTTCTTAAGTAGTGGCAACGGGCCAATTGTGCTAATTTGGTCATGTATTTACTCAGATTGGGATTTTTGAGCGGCCCACCAACCATTGCTGGGCTCAAGTTTGGTGATCACCCTGCAAATACCTCTAAAAGAACCAGAAAAATCATTTCTTGGATTTGTAATAGAAAAATGATTAAGTGACGGTCATTAATCTACTGTGAGATTAATAGCATATTTTGAACCACAAAAAAATAAAAATAAAATAAATATAAATTATTTTGGGTTCACTTATTTAAGAATTTGTGGTTCACAACATGCTGTTATTTTCATAATAGCCAAAAAACTGTTATGCTAGCAAAGCCATTTGTAATACATGCTACCCTAACACATATGTTCACTCTGTGTCTTACGGGATGACACTAAATCTAGAGCGGAACAAAAAAAGAAAATGCTCCGTGCCTAGTGGACAGAAATGAAGGAGCTACAGAAAATAAGAAAACTTGTGTGTTGAGTAAGATTCAATATGAAAAAGAAGTCACACATAAAGAGGATGAATAACTTAACTTTGAGATCGGCATAGTTTGTTGAGATTTTGGAGAAACTAGAGTTTACATGTTCGAATCTCATTATTACATGCAAACTGCTTTGAGTTTGGACTACATGTATAGGCCGAAGCTCTAGTCTTGATCGGTTTTTAAAATTTGTAGGGTGTTCATGAGTCTCTAGGTCAATAGGTCTCTGTCTATATCCCTGAGATATAAAAGAACTACAAAGTGAATAATGGAGATTATAAATAGCAAAAAAAATGATAGAAAGGGAATAGTCAAGATGAATAATGGAGGTTGGCATGTAGCCACACTAGAGAGGACACTAATAGGTGGGGCTTGCTTTTGGCTAACAAAAATGTTGGCATTAGCCTCCATGATCGACAATCCAAAGTGTGTAGCCAATCAGATGAAATGTTGTAGCCGTCCTTTAGTTATTTTTTGGAACCACTCTATATTGAAATATTGCCTTTACGTCTAGGATATCAAATGCCTATCGATCGCATTTTATATAGAACGGAAAGTCAAGTGATATCTATGAAATCATCAACTTTTATTTTTCATTGGCAATGCTAGAGATAGACAACTTTGATTGAGTTTTCTTTGCTAAGGGGTATAGAATTTTGCTTTTCTGAATATTCAACTTGTGCATAAAGTGATTGAGTCAAATAAAATCTTGCGAAATCATTTTGTAACGAAATTAATGAAAAGCTTTTTATATCTTTACGTCTTGTCTTTGGAAAAATTACCAAAAAAGTCATATTCTATTTCAATTATCCAATTCAATCATAATTTTTTTTTGCCAATTGAGTCCTAAACATTTTGCAATTATGCTAATTCAGTCCATATGACCAATTTTGGGCAGAAATCACTGATATTGACACCGGTCATCCTACGTTGGTGCAGCCAGCCGTCCTACATGGCCAGCCATCATGGGGGCTAGCGAATCACGGAGGGAAATAATGAAAAAGGAATGAAAAGAAGAAAAAATATAATAAAAAATTCGTAAAACTATTTAAATTTTTTTTTTAAAATGTCAACATTAGTGATAGCCTTCCCAGCCGTACCATGTAGGACGACCGGTGTCCACGTTAGCAATTTCTGGCTTAAATTGGCCGAATATTCTCGATTGGTACCAATATAAATATGTTTAAGATTAAATTGGTCCAATTGAAATGTTTAAGACTAAATTGGGTACCTAATATAATAGGTTTATGACTTTTTTGGTACTTTTCCCAGTATATTAAGAGATAAATCATTTCTTTATACAATATCATATGCTTAATGGAACTCTTAGTCTTGTGATTATCGCAACCTCCCCGAAGCGGGTGGACCATCTAGAGGTTGGCTAATGGATTAATAAGCCTAGACTTAGCTTGGGCTCTCCCAAACCCATATTAATTTGCAATTTAAGTTTAAATTATTTAACATGCCA